AGGGGCCATCCTTTGCCCATTTCTACCCCTGGGGTTTCTATCTGGGTAGAAATTAAGGAACATTTTGATAATTTCTCATCAAAAACCATGTTAAAGTAGTTTTGGTGTGGTGGGCAAAGTCTTACAGTGGGTACCATAGGATTAGTGTTTCCTTTTTCCACTATTTGATTTCTAATAACAGTGGTTTATTTCTGATTAATTGCCCAGACATTAGTATCTAGACACTCATTAACTCATGCATCATATTAAGTAAGTATTTGTCATATGCTAGAATTCGGATTATGCAATACCAATTTTAGGTTTTGCATAAATTTTTGCATCTGCACACTATCCTGGCCGTTGATTGGCCATTTTTTGGATTTGCAAACTCCACNTCATATGCTAGAATTCGGATTATGCAATACCAATTTTAGGTTTTGCATAAATTTTTGTATCTGCACACTATCCTGGCCGTTGATTGGCCATTTTTTGGATTTGCAGACTCCATNCTAGACACTCATTAACTCATGCATCATATTAAGTAAGTATTTGTCATATGCTAGAATTCGGATTATGCAATACCAATTTTAGGTTTTGCATAAATTTTTGCATCTGCACACTATCCTGGCCGTTGATTGGCCATTTTTTGGATTTGCAAACTCCACTTGATTAGCACCTGAACTTACTTCATGATTGCCACTATTTTTTGTCATTTCCATAGATTCATTTAATTCCATGCCAAGTACGATCTTGTCTTACTTTCTTATTTGCACCATTTTGATCCAAATTATTAATGTTGTCCCATCGGGTATGCCAAAAGATTGTTGCTCTAAAATCTGCTGGGATCGATAAAAATCTCCTAATCAATAATCAGTTTCCAAGCGATTGTTTGAAATGAATTAAAATGTCTTGTTTCAAGACTTANACCATTTTGATCCAAATTATTAATGTTGTCCCATCGGGTATGCCAAAAGATTGTTGCTCTAAAATCTGCTGGGATCGATGAAAATCTCCTAATCAATAGTCAGTTTCCAAGCGATTGTTTGAAATGAATTAAAATGTCTTGTTTCAAGACTTATTTGGATGAAAGCAATGAGGATCCTTACGGTGCAAAAACGAAATTAAAACAAAAAAAAAAAGGGAGCTCTTTTATTAAACCAATCGAAAGGACTTCAGTTATAAAAGACTAAATGAAATAACCTTGATTACAACACTAACTGCTTCTTAAACTAACCTAAAACTACTCCGAATGATACCCTAATTATGGGTTTTTGGGGGGTTTGAACNTAAAACAAAAAAAAAAAGGGAGCTCTTTTATTAAACCAATCGAAAGGACTTCAGTTACAAAAGACTAAATGAAACAACCTTGATTACAACACTAACTGCTTCTTAAACTAACCTAAAACTACTCCGAATGATACCCTAATTATGGATTTTTGGGGGGTTTGAATNAACCTTGATTACAACACTAACTGCTTCTTAAACTAACCTAAAACTACTCCGAATGATACCCTAATTATGGGTTTTTGGGGGGTTTGAACGTGTTTTCTTCCTTCATTGATAGCCATCTTCTTTGATGGTTTTTGCTTCTATCAACGATTATTATGGGTAACTCCCAGTTAGTTACTTCATTCTTTTCAAATGTGGTTGCAACTGGTCATCTCCCATCTTGGAGGAATGTTTGCTTCCATGAATTCATATAAATCATGTTGATTATGTGCTTTCAAGTGGGCTAAAGAAGTACAAAAGTAAGACATTGTATCTTCAAAATGATATCAAATAGACTATTTTCATATTTTTCATAAAAAGCATGGTCTACAAACTTCAATGAGCAATTTATNATGATATCAAATAGACTATTTTCATATTTTTCATAAAAAGCATGGTCTACAAACTTCGAGCAATTTACNTGGGCTAAAGAAGTACAAAAGTAAGACATTGTATCTTCAAAATGATATCAAATAGACTATTTTCATATTTTTCATAAAAAGCATGGTCTACAAACTTCAATGAGCAATTTATAGTTGTGAGACATTTGCCAAAATCTATAATGCATCATTAAGCCTTCATTCTAATCAAAAAATAAAATAAATATTAAGTCTTCATTAGATGCCCCTTACAATAATTTACATACACTGCATAACAGGGACTTTAATTGCTACTTTATGTGGCTCCAATATGACCATTTTCTTTTTGGAATATGCAGATCATTGTCAAAGAGGAAAGTATCTTCCCAAATGTGATGTCCCCATCTTCAAAACCTAAGCTAAGACTATTATTTGAGGTTGCTTTTTAGGGTTTTTGATTGAGAAAACTGTGGACTACCATAGCAATGGCAAACGGCCTATGCTAGATATTGTGATTAATGAACTTGATAGGACTCAAGTAGGTAATATCCAAGAACAAGATTATTCAATTATGAGGAAACACTATATGGCTCTTTCAGGCTTACACTGTAATCATGACCATCAATGTACTATACTAATGGTAAAATTACATGGACAATTAGGCTACATTTATCGAAGTGAATTTGTCTTTAGCCTTTTTTGTTTTAAAATGAAGACATCAGTCTAATTAGATTTTATCTTAGATTTATTATTATAATTCACTAGAAGTGTATGTTCATATATATGTTTGGGTTAGGTGAGTATAAGAATGCTCATACACCATTAGTCAATATTCTACTCAAGAAACTAAGAAAAACTTAACTAGGAAAGAGTCAAAAGACGGATCTTACTATCAAGCTGCAACGATGCCGCCTATGCTCCTCCACTTTTCATNTATTCTACTCAAGAAACTAAGAAAAACTTAACTAGGAAAGAGTCAAAAGACGGATCTCACTATCAAGCTGCAACGATGCCGCCTATGCTCCTCCACTTTTCATGACAAACATGCCAAAATTTAAATTCCTAATGCTTGGGTTACCATCACATATCAATAAGCATGCCTTCTTATAAGCGACAGTCATGCCATAGGTGAAGTCATGCCTTCTTATGGGTTTATCAAAATTTGTGGTAGTCTAGCAATTTAGGATATCTAAAATTATATTGTAGCTTTAGTTTGATACAAAAGTTTTAAGTAACATGTCACTTCATTATAAAATTTTGNTATGGGTTTATCAAAATTTGTGGTAGTCTAGCAATTTAGGATATCTAAAATTATATTATAGCTTTAGTTTGATACAAAAGTTTTAAGTAACATGTCACTTCATTATAAAATTTTTNTGAAGTATGGATTAGGTGGCTCTATTAAAGCGATTTGTGTCTTTTTATGAAAAAAACGCAACGCAAAAGATAACAACCTATCGTTTCCAAGATACAACAACTTAGTCTTTTGACTGTTGCTTCACTCAGATCTGTACAATCAGATGAAGTGGAGATTTCACATGACACTTTTGAATATTGTCCAAAAACTTATATAGTAGAAAAATTGTAGTAGATATTCNTTTTTTCAACTCTAATTTGGTATAACGGTCAACTTACATCAAGAAGCAAATGAAATAGAGACCATCTGATCTAAACTCTTTTCATCATCCATTATTCTATATAAGGATTTCTATCACCATTAACAAGTAAACTCATATTACCAAAAATTACAGTTAATGAAACATTAAAAAACAGTTTTTCTTGAGATGTTAATCCTAACCACTTGAAACAGAAAGTATCCTTGAAGTGCATGACAATTACTCATTAGACAAAATTATATGATCAAATCCAGAACAAATCGAGAACTCAGAGCCCCCATTACTTTTATATTTTTTTTCCTCACACTTTAATATTTCTTTTCTTTCACAAAGGGAATACCGTCTTAAAATTGTTGAAATTAGATCCAAATATTATTAGAAATAAACATCAACCTAGCAAATTATATAAACATGAAATTGAAAAGATTGTCGCACTTACCTCGATCAACGTTCAGTTTGCAATAAAGTATTACGCTTGAGTTAAGGTGTGGACTAAGTCGTTCTTTTTAAGATAGTTCGCGCCCCTACGAATAAATTCTCCGGTGTAGTTGATCATTGGACACCGTCTCCAGAATACAACAACATAGTCACTCAGTATAACTTCTCTCGGTCTACACAACTTTGAGAAGTACAAGCTTTATATACACACATTTTTTTGCCCAATAAGTAGAATATAAAAAATAGGAAAGAAACATCAGAGTAGTCATTTTTTCACCCACCAAGAATAGGCTTGTTGAACCTCTATATATAGGTTTATACAATTTGTAACTCTTGTCCAAAATAACTAGCCTATTTACTTGTATCATAAAAAACACACTTATTTTTTGTTTTAATAACAAAACATAATGCCCACTTAAATCAACCAAATAACTATCACAATAAGGATTTAATATCTAACTTGTGGGCTACTAAATTTTACGATTACAATTCTAATTATACACATGCTAATTGTTAGATTTGTAACTCATGTGGCTTGCAAATATAATATATATATATATATATATGTATAATTATGCTAAAATAAAGATACAAGTAAAGGTGAAATTATTGCTTTACAAATTACATAAATAGCAAACACTATATTTTATTTTTAATAAAATACTCCAAGAGATTAAAAATTTCGTATTTTGATAAATTTGTTCAAAAATATGATAAATTAATAAATAACTCGAGAATAAAGGAATGCCAACATCAACACAAGATTCTCCTTAACCCACCCCATGCATGGATGGTAAGTGCGCCCTAAATGAAACCCTAAAGACATCCTTGTATCCTCATATTGTAAACAAATGAGTCCCACAATGTCTAGATTCTATACCAAAGCCACACAAGCTTATCATCTCTCTCACCTTTTCAGCCCACTTCCATAGTATTTTCCTCTTGTTTTATCTGTCCTTTGTGACCTATATTAACCCCCTCCACCCCTCATCTCCATGCACCAAACTATTCCTTCCCCTCCAATACCATAAGAGCTAAAGCACCATTTTTCTTGCAAAAACTTGCAAGTTCATCTCCAAAAAATTCACAAACCATAATGTCTGGTGTTTGGGTGTTCAAGGATGGTGTGATTCGCCTTGTTGAAAATCCTCAGGCAGAGCAAGGGGATGGACGCGGCGGAGCCATCCGGAGAAAGGTTTTAGTACACTTGCCTACAGGCCAGGTGGTGTCATCTTACAGGTCGCTTGAGGAGATCTTGAGAGGTTTAGGATGGGAGAGGTACTACGGTGGTGATTCCGACCTCTACCAATTCCACAAGCAAACCTCCATTGATCTAATCTCTCTCCCTAAGGACTTCTCCAAGTTCAACTCAGTTTACATGTATGACATTGTGATTAAAAATCCTAATGTTTTCCACGTCAGAGACATGTGAGGATATATTCTTGTCATGGTTTCGTGACTTTCCCAGATGTATAGGGCGTGCTGGTTGCTGTAATTTGTGTGTTTCTTTCTAGTTTTTAGAAATGGTTGTTGTAGGCCTAGAAACTTCTGAGTTCTTGCCTTACTTTTCCACTAAGCTGGAGTGTGTAACTGTAAGCATCTGTAATGCTGTGTAAGTTCATTATAGGCTGTGTTGCATAAAATAACTATGAAGTTTTAGCTACTGTAGTGCTATATATGCAAGTCTATGATATCCATCATATCCGTAAGTGTTGGAAAAAATGGTTTTCGAAAGATAAAAGTGACGGCACGGTGAAGTATGGATTAGGTGGCTCTATTAAAGCGATTTGTGTCTTTTTATGAAAAAAACGCAACGCAAAAGATAACAACCTATCGTTTCCAAGATACAACAACTTAGTCTTTTGACTGTTGCTTCACTCAGATCTGTACAATCAGATGAAGTAGAGATTTCACATGACACTTTTGAATATTGTCCAAAAACTTATATAGTAGAAAAATTGTAGTAGATATTCAGATTATATTTTATATACTGAAATATATATATATATATATATATATATATATATATATAATATGTGTTTAATATTCTGTAATGACTCTCATATTTAATCAGATAATAACTAATAAAAAATATTTGTGGTAAAACTAGCACGAAAAAAATTAAATAAGACGAGTCAGGAGGCCCGATACCTAGGTGTAGACTAGGTTGATCAGTGTGTTTCGTAAATGTACCTCCTCCAGTTGTCCCACTCTTGCGCTCGTAAAAGTCTCCAGGTTTCACTTTAATTCAAATGCTAGATAACACTAACACATATATTTGAGTACTTTTAAAAATTAGTCGATATGGAATTGAATCCATATGAAAAAAACTCTTTGTTTAAAATACTCTTAACATTAAGTTTATGACAGCTATTAACAGTCTAGGTACTTTCAGTTGAGTCCTTGTTCATGGAGATCTAAATGGGGACACATATGCAACAAGTGTGGCATAAAGAGATGATATCTTGCACTAACTTTATTGGGATTGACAGGACATTATGTTTTGCCCAAATCTAAAGATTTATTTGTTGTGAAAATAATAAAAGAAATAGAAGTCTACTCCATCATAAGTGTGCTAGGATAGATTACCCTAGCCCGGATTTGTCAATTTTGATCAACTTTATTCATCCACTGGCAAATTTATTAGAATTCACGGANTCTAATTATACACATGCTAATTGTTAGATTTGTAACTCATGTGGCTTGCAAATATAATATATATATATATATATATGTATAATTATGCTAAAATAAAGATACAAGTAAAGGTGAAATTATTGCTTTACAAATTACATAAATAGCAAACACTATATTTTATTTTTAATAAAATACTCCAAGAGATTAAAAATTTCGTATTTTGATAAATTTGTTCAAAAATATGATAAATTAATAAATAACTCGAGAATAAAGGAATGCCAACATCAACACAAGATTCTCCTTAACCCACCCCATGCATGGATGGTAAGTGCGCCCTAAATGAAACCCTAAAGACATCCTTGTATCCTCATATTGTAAACAAATGAGTCCCACAATGTCTAGATTCTATACCAAAGCCACACAAGCTTATCATCTCTCTCACCTTTTCAGCCCACTTCCATAGTATTTTCCTCTTGTTTTATCTGTCCTTTGTGACCTATATTACCCCCTCCACCCCTCATCTCCATGCACCAAACTATTCCTTCCCCTCCAATACCATAAGAGCTAAAGCACCATTTTTCTTGCAAAAACTTGCAAGTTCATCTCCAAAAAATTCACAAACCATAATGTCTGGTGTTTGGGTGTTCAAGGATGGTGTGATTCGCCTTGTTGAAAATCCTCAGGCAGAGCAAGGGGATGGACGCGGCGGAGCCATCCGGAGAAAGGTTTTAGTACACTTGCCTACAGGCCAGGTGGTGTCATCTTACAGGTCGCTTGAGGAGATCTTGAGAGGTTTAGGATGGGAGAGGTACTACGGTGGTGATTCCGACCTCTACCAATTCCACAAGCAAACCTCCATTGATCTAATCTCTCTCCCTAAGGACTTCTCCAAGTTCAACTCAGTTTACATGTATGACATTGTGATTAAAAATCCTAATGTTTTCCACGTCAGAGACATGTGAGGATATATTCTTGTCATGGTTTCGTGACTTTCCCAGATGTATAGGGCGTGCTGGTTGCTGTAATTTGTGTGTTTCTTTCTAGTTTTTAGAAATGGTTGTTGTAGGCCTAGAAACTTCTGAGTTCTTGCCTTACTTTTCCACTAAGCTGGAGTGTGTAACTGTAAGCATCTGTAATGCTGTGTAAGTTCATTATAGGCTGTGTTGCATAAAATAACTATGAAGTTTTAGCTACTGTAGTGCTATATATGCAAGTCTATGATATCCATCATATCCGTAAGTGTTGGAAAAAATGGTTTTCGAAAGATAAAAGTGACGGCACGGTGAAGTATGGATTAGGTGGCTCTATTAAAGCGATTTGTGTCTTTTTATGAAAAAAACACAACGCAAAAGATAACAACCTATCGTTTCCAAGATACAAAAACTTAGTTTTTTGACTGTTGCTTCACTCAGATCTGCACAATCAGATGAAGTAGAGATTTCACATGACACTTTTGAATATTGTCCAAAAACTTATATAGTAGAAAAATTGTAGTAGATATTTAGATTATATTTTATATACTGAAATATATATATATATATATATATATATATATATATATATATAATATGTATTTAATATTCTGTAATGACTCTCATATTTAATCAGATAATAACTAATAAAAAATATTTGTGGTAAAACTAGCACGAAAAAAAATTAAATAAGGCGAGTCAGGAGGCCCGATACCTAGGTGTAGACTAGGTTGATCAGTGTGTTTCGTAAATGTACCTCCTCCACTTGTCCCACTCTTGCGCTTGTAAAAGTCTCAAGGTTTCACTTTAATTCAAATGCTATATAACACTAACACATATATATTTGAGTACTTTTAAAAATTAGTCGATATGGAATTGAATCCATATGAAAAAAACTCTTTGTTTAAAATACTCTTAACATTAAGTTTATGACAGCTATTAACAGTCTAGGTACTTTCAGTTGAGTCCTTGTTCATGGAGATCTAAATGGGGACACATATGCAACAAGTGTGGCATAAAGAGATGATATCTTGCACTAACTTTATTGGGATTGACAGGACATTATGTTTTGCCCAAATCTAAAGATTTATTTGTTGTGAAAATAATAAAAGAAATAGAAGTCTACTCCATCATAAGTGTGTGATAGGATAGATTACCCTAGCCCGGATTTGTCAATTTTGATCAACTTTATTCATCCACTGGCAAATTTATTAGAATTCACGGGTGGGTTTTATGGTCTCCACCAACAACAATAGAACCAAATAAATTTAATAATGAATGATTAAACTTGATATTCATTAAAATTAAAAAGGTAAATTTTGATGATACTCCTTTAAATTGATGTAATCTTATTTTTTAAAAAGGACAGACCGCTGCAAAAAATGCATCGATTTCAGACATCATTTGTCCACTCTTACAGTTGTTCCATACATTACACCCTAGCAACCAAGTCAAGGGGTGGGGGAGGTGGACTAGGGGTATTCAAATTTTTGATTGGTCTCAATTTTCTATCCTATTTGACTCTATTCAATCCTACTGAACGGTTAACTGCAAAATTTGGGTAGGAATACACAACAGTTTTTGGTCTTTCGATTAAGTCGAGTAGGAATGCGAAATACCCATCAATTTTCGTATTCCTACTTACCCTACCCGCATTAATTAATTAATTAATTAATGTATATATATATATATATATAAAACTAAAAAAACCCTAATTGCTAACAAACTTTATCGTCTATTGACTAAGCGAGCACCTCACTCCACTCCTCTCCACTTGCCTCCATCGGCTTTCATTGCTCAAGTCTCTGCCTCCACAGCTCAGGCATTCATCATTCGGTCCTGACCTCTCCAGGTACTCTCTCCTCTCTCTCAATCTCTGTTTGGGCACAATTTGGTGGCTTTATCGTTCAGGCCTTCATCTACGGATCTAATTTTTTTTAAGCATCAAGTTAATGAACCTTAAAACACTAGCTTTCAAGCATCGTTCAGGTTTTCTCTATTTTTTGAAGCATCATTCAAGCCTTCTCGATTTTTTTTTTTAGCTTTCAAAACTTATCCATTAAAATCAAAAATCGGATAATTGTTGTTATAGTTATTTTAGGTTTTAGTATTATTGATTTATTGTATTATTAAATTGGTACATGTTATTTAATTAAATTGTTAAAATAATTCAAAAATTTATAGTTACAAAATTGTTTACCAAACTTTCTACCCGAATAACCGTGTAAGAAGTCGGGTAAAAATACCACACCTGATCGGGTCGGATAAGCCAAGAAATTTTTTTTTTTAAATTATTGGGTAAAAAGACAAAAAATTATATTTCCTACCGTAGGGTCGGAGAAACACCCCTAAGGGGACAGAGTACCCAATTATAGGGAGTACTTGGAATATTGAGGATGATTCTGTGAGGTCCCAAGGCAGAGGTAAGAAGGGAATGGGAGCTTCACGTGAAGTGGATGGTGGAAGCTTTGTAAAGGGCCAAGAGTAAATGCCCACGTATTGGCCCCGGATGGTTGCTTTTCTTAGTTCAGAGCTGGAACACTGTCCATGCGCATGCAGATTGCGAAATATGTTGTTATCTTCCTTAGAGTCCTCGTGCACAAAGACTTGGACATGTGACCACAGAACTTTAGAACACCATAGGGGAGTACTGTTATCCCAAATATAGTGTATATAATTAGATTTAGGAAACATAATAACTGTTGTAAATTTTAAATTGAAAGTCTATTGTTTAAAACAAAATAATGCACTCACATGAATGCAGAACAGTAGCAACAATCAGAACTAGAAAACCATAATAAATTTGAGCCCTGTATTTCCAATCTCCTTAACACAAATTTGCTCCCTCTTGGTGCTCAAGGTTGATGAGCAATTGTCTCTCAAGATAGAACAAATTTATGTTCTTGGAAAAGCAACACTTCAATCTCCAAACCTCGACAAACACAACTTTGTGCCTTATACTTGAACTGATGAAGAAAAGCAATAATGCAACAAGATGTATGCAAAGGGAGAGAAATATGAAAGTCAGAAAAATTGTTCTTGAATTTCGGTATATTCCAGATGGTAGTAAGGGTCGCTTTTTTATAGACTCCAGGTATTTGCTCAATTAAACTATACAGGTAAAGGACGCCATTTTTTGTCACACCTATTCAAAGAAACACTCTGAACGACGACAATTACATGGTGTATATTTTAAAAATTATTTTAAAAGACGGATGGATCAAGCACTGAAAAGTTAAGGCAACAAATTGCAAGTTGAGGCGGTGTGAGACGACCATGGCAGACGACGTTCCAAGCCAAGGCTCCTAACCTTGGGCCCCACTTGCCAAGGCGCCAAAAGCGTTGGGCGCTATCTACGGGTTCCATTGCGTGTTTCGTCCACTACTCCCATTTGTTCTATTTTTTATTCAATTGTAATCTAAAAATTCAGTCTATTATACCAATACAAATTGATAATTTTTGAGGCATAATTTCTCATTCAAATATTAATAATTCTTAACAAATAATTAAATCATGATTCCACTAATTTCGATGTGTAAGTCCCATTTTAATTTATTTTTCATAACTATTTTTCCAAAAGGACATCTTGAGAATAAAACTAAGAAATGGCATTGTCCAATTACCCCGTCCAAAACCATTTATAGTCCGTTTGGTAAAATAATGAATCAAAAAATAAAAACGAATCAAAATAAAACTGGATAAACTTTGGTGTCAAAAAATAACTTTTCAATACTATTTTTTTTTTATCCAACTACAAGTGGACAGGTGTATAGTTGAAATACAAAAAAAGTTAAATCAAGTTTTATGGCTTAAATTTATTTTCGGTATGATACCAAAAATTTATTTTTCGTTAATGCAATTATATCCATGATATACTTTCTATTCTCAGAAAAATAAATCTTCCTTTCCTCCTTTACGTTTAGTAGGAAACATAAAAATTAGAAAGAACTAATTCTTTTTATTTTTGATGTGGATGGAAAATTAGAAAAAAAAAAAAAAAAAGAGTGTGCATACAAATTTTCCATTACATAAAATGAAGTTACCCATGATATTTAAACATATCAATAAAATTATGCATGTGAAGAGATATAAAAATAAATAACTTATATTTCATAATACATGCTTATTTGTCCTTTTATTTTTCCATCCAATTTTAAGGATAAATTTTGATGGTTTAAAAGAAAAGGACTAATCTGTCTATTATGACTTATGTAAGTTTTTTTTTTATCTTAATCAAACATAACCTTTTATCTATCACAAATGAGTCATTAGTGTTAGCGTTAGGTTATCTCCAGTAAGTTCTCTATGTCCACTTATTCTATATTTTTAGGGTACTTTTAGAGAGTGAATCCATAAAATTCATCTCTAATAAACTTTTTATTTAGTCTAGCTAAAATAGATAGTCCAATTTGACTTTTTATATTTGGAGAGTCAAACTCACTGTCTACTCTATAATTAATTAATGACTAAAAAAATCACACATGTGCATTCTAGATTGAATACTATTCACAATAAAGTCTATTTCTTAAAATAGAGAGTTCTATTGAGTTGTTAAAAAAAGACTAATTAATGTCAATAATTTTTTTACTTGGGTAAACCTCAAGTGGCGTGAGGAAATTTTATTAATATAAAATAAAAAATTACACTTAAAAGGAGGGGGGACATAATGAGTCTTATCCAAAGTTAGAAAACTAATAAAGATTAAAAAAAATAAAACAATGCAATGAATGAGATAAAATGTGACATACAAATACATAATAGGTATAAAAAATAAAACAAATAGAGTACATTTTTTCACTACTTATTTGATGCAAAGTCTTTAGCCATGTCATCTTTCCAACTTTGAGTTGTAAGCGTTGCATCCTTCCAATCCTTTATATGCATAAGATATTCCAAGATTTATGGAGTTAATCTGCTCCTCTTCTCGTTCAATAAACTATTACTTGTACCAAAAGTAGATTTCAAAACTATTATGGACATGGAGAGTAAGTATATCAAGGGTCATGATGGAAAGAACATGAAAGTTCCCTTCATGTAATTTCCACCATCCCAAAATATCAAAGTTGTCTATTTGCTCTTGGGTAAGAAAATCTGTCCAATTAGTCTCTAAATACTTATAGAGTTCGGTGCGTGAAGAACTTACATTGGACCTTTGTTTTTCAATCTTGGCAATTATAGACCAAGATAAGTTACTACTACTTGTAGGAAATAATAAAGAATTAGTACTTTTATTATTCTTATATTTAGAATGATATGAATTGTACACGGAAGTTAATAAATTATTAATATCATTTAAAGTAACATGAAGTGGCATATTTAAATTTTCAAAAAATTCCATTTAGTAGCACTTCTACACCAATTAATTTTATTCTACAATCCATTACCGCACCTAAACAAAAAATAAGTGGCATGTGCTCCCAATATTTTTTAATTTTATTTTTCCATTATGGAACAAATATCAAACAAAAAATTTATTTTCTCTATAGGTATTAAAAGTATTAGAAATGTTGTACAATTGATTAAGAACAACACATGAAGTAGGATAATAAACTGTTGGACAAATATTTGTAGCATTATAGAAAGCTTTCAAAAATTCTAAGATAGTTAAAGCCAACTCACAATCATATAAAGTTACATACATCTATATAATAAAGTAGTTTACAATTCAAATTTAAAAAATAAATAAAATGACTTTTGTTTTTCGCGGTTCAGATCACTTTAAATTTTATTTTAAAGTTAATCTAACGGTTAATATTAACACTCTAAATTTAATAGAAAAAATAGACTCTTAAATGTGTGTTTGGAGTGACTTATTAAAAGTACTTCTACGAATTATTTCTCTTAAGTACTTAAAAAAAGATAGTGTTTAAAACTGTCCCACCACTACCTCTACCACCATCATCGCCGCCACCACCACCACCCCTACCCCATCATCGCCACCGCCACCGCCACCACGGTCATTGCCACCCATCACAACCATCACCGTCTCCAACCACCACCACTGTCGCCCACCACCTCTCACTCCCACTACAACCGATGTTTAAATTCATTTATCTTTCCTCTATGTTTGTGATTTAATTTTGGATATGAATACAAATATGTTTATTGTTTATCATTTTTTATTACTCTGTACATTCAGACACAGACAATAACTAATATATGATATTTTACATTAATAAAATCTGTAATTACAATGATGGTAATATACACAAGATTATAACATAAGAAATGTAGAGTTCCAATGAGTTTTAATATCAACTTTAAACTTTCTAGATTTTGAACCATATGTTCTACATAATTGAAAAAATTCTTATCGCCTAGACAGAGATGAAGCAATAAAAATAATTGACTCCCTAATTATTTCTATATGCTGCTCAATTATTTTAAGCCATTTTGGACTATCAAATTAATTATATGACATTCACACTTTATATAAAACAATTGACCACCAATGTTGGTTGAAAGCTATGTTTAAACATGTCTATTAAAATATTTATTAGCAAAATGATTATCAAAACTAATACTAAAAAATTTATCAACAACTCCATATTCTCCAAGTACACCCATGATACATTGAAATATATGAGAAGCAGGATGAAGATATTCTATCATACGAAAAGCAATATTTTTTTTATGCAACACCAAACTTGAATCAATAAAATGAGTCGTAACACAAATAAAACCTAGTTTATTGTGTCCCGTCCATAAATCAGAAGCACTAGCCATTGTAGTAGTAAAACTTGAAAATATAGGTTGTGTTTGGTAACGTTTTCAGTTTTCAATTTTTTTAAAAAATAAAAACTAAAATGGTCTGAATAGAAGCATTTAATTCGTTGACACAAATCAGTACAAGGGGCTTCAACAACTTCAATCAAGCACCATAAATAAATCGCATCTCTTAGGGGAGATTAGAGATAGAAAACTGTAGATCTACAGATCTAATAAATGAATATAGCACAAAGAAACAACCTACATCTAAGGAATCTAGCTACTGAAAACCCTAGATCTAAGAACTTACCTTGGTAAGAGAAACGAAGCTGCTGTGAACGACCTAGGTGAAGATGAGAGAGACGAAGCTGCTGAACGCCGAAGCTTTTGAATCGCCTGGAACGAAGCTGCTGGAACGCGGGGAACTCCTCTGTTGAACGAATGGAATGAGAGAAACGATGAGATGAGAGAGAGTTTGAGGGCTTAAATATTTTTGTTTGAGGGATTTTTGGTAGGGGGCTTAATTTGTTGCTAATAAGAGTCGATGGTAGGACCTCATTAAATGTCATCCGCGTGTTTTTGGTTTTTTTTTTTTTGAAAACGACTTTGTTTGGTTTCCAAAATTTGAGGCAAATTTGAAAACAGTTGTAGTTAAAAAAAAAAACGGTTACCAAACGAGTTTAAATTTCAAGTTTTGTAAAAAATTGAAAATAAAAACGGAAAAATTGGAAACCGAACCGTTACCAAACGGACCCTATAGTAATCAATTTTTTTTTTCATTTCATTAAAAACCTTTAACACAGTCACTTCTAGTAGTATTTATAGAAACACTAGAATAAGCAGGATGAAGATATGCTTTAATAAGAATTTCAAATCTAACATCTTCAGCAAAAGTAAAATGTTGCTCTACTGAAGCTATGTATTTGGCTCATCTTTCTCTCATTTTGCCTTGAGAGTATAAAAAAGTTGACAAATTATTTTCGGTTTGCCTAAGTTGAGTTTGGCTAGTGTCATTACCACCAACATGTTTTACTAAGTGTTTTTCTTCAATGTCGGTCAATGTGACCCGTGCCACTATTATGTTTACAATTCAAATCAATTTTACAATATATAATTGCATATAGTTCTTTCTTCCATAATCCCATGTTTATGTTTTCTTTTTTCTTTTTAAAATGGTTCCACACATCAGAAGTGGTGCATCTCTTTCTTTTTCCTACCTTGAGTGCCATTATTGCTAGGTTCGCTTTAACCTTCGGGCACAACATTAATATTGTTAAATTCATTAAAATTTAAATTCTCAAAGCCAAAATTTCTAGGGTCTATTTTTCAATTTAAAATAAGTAACTACAATTAAAACACGTAATTAATTTAAAAAATACGTCGACCAAAGTTGAAGCAACTGAAGATGTAGATGCATACTTGTAATTGAATATGTAGATGTAGACTAGTAATCGTAGATGTTGACATAGTTGTAAATTACAACTTATACTTGTAGCCTTGTAGATAAAAGTACATATACTAGTGTAGGGAGAAAGAGAGATTGTAGAGAGAGTGAGTAATTTGGTGAGAAAGAAAAGAAATTAGGTAAGGTATTTACAGNGTTGTAAATTACAACTTATACTTGTAGCCTTGTAGATAAAAGTACATATACTAGTGTTGGGAGAAAGAGAGATTGTAGAGAGAGTGAGTAATTTGGTGAGAAAGAAAAGAAATTAGGTAAGGTATTTACAAAGAATTTAAAAATATTGAATTCCAAATTTACCCTTAAACTAGTCGTTATATAACTGATAGGATGGATAAAAATGGCATATAGAAGCATAAAAATGTAAATTCTAGATTTACCTTAAAGTTGTCGTTATATAGGTGTTGGGAGGGACAAAACATAATTTTTGACCAATTTTTTAAAAAATAACCGTTAGTCATGCACGTGGGCTCAAATCACAAGCCCAGCCCGGCTCAAGGGTACGCACACACTTGGGTCAGCCCATTTTAGGTCGTGTCGTGTTCACTTTTAGTTGTATCGTGCTAGTCTGACCGACCGNGGGAGGGACAAAACATAATTTTTGACCAATTTTTTAAAAAATAACCGTTAGTCATGCCCGTGGGCTCAAATCACAAGCCCAGCCCGGCTCAAGGGTACGCACGCACTTGGGTCAGCCCATTTTAGGTCGTGTCGTGTTCACTTTTAGTTGTATCGTGCTAGTCTGACCGACCGAATTTACACCTCCACTCATGTTTCAATAATAAAAATAATTTTTTATTTACCACGGTATATCACAATTACAATTAAAAATCAACTATTGCACATAATTATATATGAAACCTTAAAGACGGGCATAAGAAGTCAATGAGTAGATAGGATTTAGATGTGAATTGGCCAAGGCAAGTCAGAAGTGGTTTCATCAAGCTTTAGGTCAAAAGTTTAGTGAAATCTAAATCAAGCTTGAGCTAAAACAACTAAAGAAAGTAGTGGTACTTTGCAGTTGTAGAGGGGTTTCCATTTGGTTGAAGATAAATTGCTTGGAAGAGAACTAGCTAGGAGAAGGCTAGATGAAGATTGAAGAACTTAATCAACCGAAAGATGTCCATGGCTTGACAGTCTGCCCGAAGATGCTCGCAAAAGCAGGCCCAGCCATGGTTGACCTGCAGGGTGGTCCACTTGGACCACGGGACGAGGCTGAGCATTGGCTAAAAGTCTTTTCCGTGATCATGTTGGTTGGTGCTTTGCTTGTGGTATACATAAACTTTAATACACAAATAAATGTTAGCTTAAAGGACTTATTCGACAAGATATTGGAGCTGAAGCTAGCTAGAAGGAATATTGCTAGAATTAAACGGAACTGCACTAAGTCTAAATCTGACTATCAAGAGATACCTTGCAAAATGATGCTTTTAAATTTCAGTTAGACTCCTTGCAAAAGATATGAGAAATAACCAACTAGGTATTAATATAAAGAGTAATATTATTTAGAGTTAATTTATTTATCTAATTCATTGAAATCTGTAAATTGACTATGGATAGGGTTGGCCAAAGCCAAACGGAGGTTCTAGGCAAAATTCTTGGATGACACCTCATTAATTATGATTATTATGATAATATATAATATTTTTTATTTTTATTACAATATTAAAATATATTTATTTAAAAATTCATTTCTTGTTATTTGAGATGTCAACTTACTATTTAAATTTTTATATTCAAATTCTTTAGCACATCATTTAGATTTATAAAATTCATTCAAGGATTAATAGTCAGCAGAATAGTAAGAGAGTAGATTTAAAGTTCAATACTAGACAATCTAATGATGTTTATGTTATCATGGCAATAGAATGAAACTATTAACAAACTCAATTTAAATTTTAATAAATTTAACTTATCAAAAGACCATCAAATTCTAAAAGAAAGGCCAAAACTCACACTTTTCAAGTTGATAAACACTGATAAAAAAAAAAGTTGATAGACATAGTTGAAATAATATACGAAAGAAACAGTTACATAATTTTGTTTTACATGGTAGGTTCCAATACATGAATAGTATTATGATTAATATAATGAATCTCAANACTTATCAAAAGACCATCAAATTCTAAAAGAAAGGCCAAAACTCACACTTTTCAAGTTGATAAACACTGATAAAAAAAAAAGTTGATAAACATAGTTGAAATAATATACGAAAGAAAAAGTTACATAATTTTGTTTTACATGGTAGGTTCCAATACATGAATAGTATTATGATTAATATAATGAATCTCATATTAATATAAAACTCATAAAAGTAAAATTTGACTTCATTAAAATACAAAATTTGGTTTTATTGAACATTGATCTAAAAGTTTTATCTAGGACCTTGAAAACAAATCTATACTTCATTAAACTTGAATCTAAAATTTTTAAAAATAATTTAAAGTTCAATAAATCTAAATAAAAAATAAAAAATAAAAAATTGACACCCGACAAAATATAGGGCCCTAAGCAACGTTTTCGATTGCCTAGTCTAAGGGTCGGCCCTGATTGTAGATTCTATTAGACATTGGAATTTAGTTTTTATCTAGCCATTATAATGACACCGCATTACTATATCACCATATTAATTACGTCAGACTTTTAGACCTAAATANCCTAGTCTAAGGGTCGGCCCTGATTGTAGATTCTATTAGACATTGGAATTTAGTTTTAATCTAGCCATTATAATGACACCGCATTACTACATCACCATATTAATTACGTCAGACTTTTAGACCTAAATGGCTTTACTCTTAATATAATTAGTCACATTGTTAAAGCTTGGCCTTGCCGATGGTATATTCTCATTGGAGAATGACAATTCCCAAGCAATGGAAATGCATAAATTCCCTCCTAACACATTTGATTTCATAATGGAAATATCTTCATCAAATGTTTTCCTTAATTTTCAAAACCATTGAGAGGGACTATGGACCATGTCCGTTGAGAGCGAATCAACTAATGGAAGACGATAAAAGTTAGTTAAGTCTTCCCATTAATTATTAGTTAAACAGTATACAATACTTTCACCAAGTTCTTTGAAGTATTAAGTGTATACAGTCTTATAGACATACAAAGAGGCTTTCATAATTATTTTATGTGGTATTCATACCATAATAGAACAATCTTACTGTTGCACCAATCAGATTCAAAATCAATTACAATTGTCTCTGCTAATAAACTAAGACGGAAGCCCAGAATAAGGGTTTTATTCTGATTATTTTTAGCATGTGTAAAGTTGATTGGCTGCACCTTGAACCCACAATAGAGAAAATTGTACTTATTTTAAACTAAAACCAACTTGACATATTTTTTAGGCTAAATTAGGATGAGGTCAGCCTATATATATCATTTAGAAAAAAAAAAGTTGCTTTAGTTATCAAGACTTTAATTTATGCATGCATACCCTTTAAAAGCTGGGGACAATGTGGTGTATCTCCAATATACTCCTATGTTGGTTTGGCCCATGTAACTTCTAATTAATCAATAAATTTCCCCTTTCAACATAGGAACCTTCTAATTATGATGAAATTAGCTTATAAAAATACCTCTGTTTCGGTTCACTTTTGTTACTTTTTTTTTTTTAACGAATGTGTTGTGAGTGAATATATGCATTTCATAATGGACAAACTTTTGTTTCCCAGTCCACCCTTCTAATGGGCTAGTTTTTATCCCCTCCCCCGTTTTCACCACCCCGCTCATAACAATTAATATCTATAATTATAAGAAAAAAATTGAAAAAAAAATCATAACAATTAAAGTAATAAGTTAACAAAAGTTTATGACTGTAATACCCCAAAATCCATCTTTGAAGGNCTGTTTCGGTTCACTTTTGTTACTTTTTTTTTTTTAACGAATGTGTTGTGAGTGAATTTATGCATTTCATAATGGACAAACTTTTGTTTCCCAGTCCACCCTTCTAATGGGCTAGTTTTTATCCCCTCCCCCGCTTTCACCACCCCGCTCATAACAATTAATATCTATAATTATAAGAAAAAAATTGAAGAAAAAATCATAACAATTAAAGTAATAAGTTGACAAAAGTTTATGACTGTAATACCCCAAAATTCATCTTTGAAGACATTACTATCTACAAACTATCCAGCTATGAGAGCAACTAAAGATAATCATTAAGTAATAAATCATTCATCCAATTGAATATCTAGCAACGGAATAATTAAACTAGCTAAAACATTGTTTCATAAAAATCTTTCAAACACTAAACCAAAAATAAAACAACTATATTCCTATAAGACAGGGTCCGCGTCTTGATTCTCCAATAATGCGTAATAAACCTGCTCATCTACATAGACATCCATTTCTATGTTAAATTATGTAAGTGTGTTATAGGGGGTGAGCAAAAGCCCATAAGAAACCCNAAATCATTCATCCAATTGAATATCTAGCAACGGAATAATTAAACTAGCTAAAACATTGTTTCATAAAAATCTCTCAAACACTAAACCAAAAATAAAACAACTATATTCCTATAAGACAGGGTCCACGTCTTGATTCTCCAATAGTGCGTAATAAACCTGCTCATCTACATAGACATCCATTTCTATGTTAAATTATGTAAGTGTGTTTTAGGGGGTGAGCAAAAGCCCATAAGAAACCCCTCTCAAATCCCTAGAAGGTTTTTAAAACAATAAAAAGAAGGCAAGTCTCCTTTAAAAAATAGCATATATAATTTTTTTAGAGTAAAACCATGATAGTTGTAATGAGCTCAAGGGTACAGAATATAGTAAATCAATGAAATGAATAAACATGTCTAAATTAAAGCACTACAAACCAAACAATATCAATCATTCTTTGCAGGGCCAAATCACAAACCACTTTAGGAATGACATATATCGTCTCCCACAGCATTCACGAATCCTCCCAAGAAAGGTATATCATCCCTTAGCCTCAAACTTACGTGAACAATAGTGGTGAGAGCGTGAACAATAGTGGTTGCTCTCACAAACNTGACATATATCGTCTCCCACAGCATTCACGAATCCTCCCAAGAAAGGTATATCATCCATTAGCCTCAAACTTACGTGAACAATAGTGGTTGCTCTCACAAATAGCAATCCACTATGAGTGTTAAGCAACCATCTCACCCTCACTGGGATAGAATAACCTCTAACACACTACGACAGCTATCGAAAGCAATTCAAGTCTGTCACACCTAAACAATACAAAAGATGAAACCACAATTTTTTCAACAACTACAATCTTAACCAATAACAATTTTCATTAACAATTCAAGTATCACAATTGCACAATTCTCAATATACTATAGTAATAAAAGAATTAAAATATGCAAAAGATCATATCAAGAAAATCTTCACAATTTTGATATTCAAAATTCTAGAGTTTTGCCAAAAATCATAATTTCTTGAAACAAGAACAAATATTAGATAAAAACATGATTTAATCAAGAATAGGGATTTAGAAATCAAGAATCCATGTATTTTTCATAACCAAACATGTATTTAGCAAAACTTGAGTTTTGGAAATTCTAGAACAAATATTCTTTGAACCCAAACATGTATTTTGTTCAAAACTATGTTTCAATGATAAAGAATCCAAAAACTCATAAATATTTATCATATAACTATCAAGAAGATTGAAAACATACATAGATAATACCCTAAGTCTCAATGAAAGAACTCAAGAAGAATTATCTGCCTTTAATCCAATGATTGAAGATAACTCGACCATGTGTTGAATCAATCCTGAAGCGAAAATCCTCCTCGTGTCTCTTTTCTTTCTTCATCTCGGGCTTTCTAAAGTTTTCTTAGACGAACAATTGCTAAACATAGGCCTAAAGTTCGTTCCTTATGTATTTATAATGCCAAAAGTGAAGAAAAATCTCAACACAGATCGTTCAACTTCTGCCCGGTGCATCCGGATGTATGTTTCTCCCGTCCAGACACATCTGACAGCATACCCCCGACTTTTAGCTTGATTTTGACCTATTTACAAGCTGATTGAAGAATACACTTTTGTAACCGTTGAAATCTAGTTTCTACTGTCCAAATATCAGCTCAATTGAAATTCTGATTAGAAAGTTATGATTAAAATACTAAGGTAGTGTCAAATTTATTTATACCANAAACCACAATTTTTTCAACAACTACAATC